GCTAATAAGGCAGGTCTTCAGCCCCCTGTCCTGCACATAGGTGCCAGGGTCTCAGAGATTGTCCTGCCCAGTACAACACAGGTTTGTGTGGGGTGAATCACTGATCCCAGAGCAGATGTGACCAAGTTGGCGATGACCTTAGACAAGATTTTGTAATCCATATTTAACAGTGAAATTGGTCACTAATTTCTAATTTCCTCCACCTTCCTCTTCAGCATGTAGATTGGGTAATGATACCTTTCCTCTTGGGTTTGCACGTTATCTGCCAGAAGTCCATTGTCATACACCTCCAGCAGGTCCTGCCCAGTCAAGTCCCACAGAGCTGAATACAACTTGTTCGGTAAGCCATCGCTTCCAGGAGTTCTATTCTTTCCTAAGGACTTGAGGGCCTTGGTCAGCTCATCCAGAGATAATGACTGGTCCAACCTCTCCCATGTGCTGTTGTCTAAGACCTCTGTGATAGAGAACAGGAACGACTGGGAGGTCACGCCGTCTATGGGCTTCGTGTCATACAGGCTGGTGTAAAAGGATTTGCTGATCCCCAGGATATCAGACTGAGATGACTTTACCGAGCCTCTTCTTCCTTCAGGATATCGCACACATATATGTGGGATGTGCTGTCCAAAATGGGCTTTGGGGAGGGAATCTGCAATTGGATCTGAATACTCTACACCAGCATTGTTAGTGCAGTTTCAATCAATGGGTGGGAATCAGAAAGCTTCCCAGTCAGATCCGGAGTCAGGCAGGGCTGCCCACTCTCTCCTGCCTTGTTTGTGTGCTGTATAGAACCCTTTGCTGAGTCCATCAGGAAGGATGTGAGCCTGAGAGGGGTGACTATTCCAGCAGCAAAGGCCTGCGGGTCAAAGCCTCCCTGTCCCTGGATGACATTTTCTGCTCAGATCCACTGTCAGCGCGCAGATTCATGAGTATCTGCGACCAGTTCAAACTGGCCTTGGGAGCCCAAGTAAGTCAAGGCAACAGTGAAGTTGTGTTCTTTGACAACTGGGCAGACTGAACCTTTATCCCTTCAACATTAGGACAGACTTCCTGAAGGTGCTGGGAATATGGTTCAGAGATTTGTGCAAAATCTTGGGAGGCTTGCGTAGCCAAGGTGAGGTAGATCTTTCGGCAACGTTGCTCCCTCCCCATTGTGGGTAAAAGTCTGGTCGTCAGGTGTGAGGCACTCTCTCTGTTGTTGTACATGGTGCAGGTCTGGCCCATTCCCCAAAAACTGCACCATTGCAGCCACCAGAGCCATCTTCCACTTCATCTGGAGGTCTAACATGGACAATGTCTGCAGGGACACCATGTATAAAACTCTGGATGGGGTGGGGGGGGGGGGGTTAAGAACGTACCCAACACCACCCTCATCCTGATGGCCACTTTTGTGTGCAGGTGCATCAAGATGTGCGTAGACCCTCGGTACATAAACACCAACTGTCACTATGTACTGCGGTTCTATCTGACCTCGGTTTTACGAAGGATGGGACTGGCCTTGTTGCTGCGGGACACTCCAAGTACTTGGACCATTCCATATCACCTGTCCTTCACTGGGAAATTTGCAAAGAAAAACACTGTGACCACACGTCATTCGGGAAGTGGTCAGCACGTAGCGTCCTTGAGAACCTGCGGGAAAAGGATAGGGTGGATACTGTTGCATGGTTCAATGAGCAGACTGTAAGAGTCATTAAGCAGAATGCCTCATCACCAAAACCTTCCAACAAGCACCAAGACATCACTTGGCTGGTTGTGAGAAGGGCACTACCTGTGAGATCTTCCATATATGCCCAGTCGGTCTGCTCAACCACATACTGCGCTCGAAGCAGCTATGGTGGGTGCATTGGGGTGTAGAGACTGTCCCATATTCTTCTGGAATGTGGCTTTACAAAGGAGGTCTGGAGAAAGATGCAATGGTTGTTATTGAGGTTCATCCCAAGCAGCTCCGTGACACAAGACTCTGTGCTCTACTGTCTGTTCCCTGGGATGCACACTGAGACAAACATCAACTGCTCCTGGAGGACTATCAACTCAGTAAAAAATGCTCTTTGTCTTCCCGAAACTTGTTGGTCCTCCAGAGCTAGGAGTTGACCTCAACTGAATGTTACAGACTGGCACCTTCCAAGGTTCAGGACTCTGTGCTGAGGGAAGCACTAAAGCTTGGGGCAGCTGCTGCAAAGACACAGTGGGGAAAGACCACTGTGTAAGGTCTTTCTGCTGATGTTAAATGGGGGTCCATTTAGTTATCAAACACCCCAGTGCCTCAAATATATGTAAATATAACCTTTACAAGTTAGAGATGCCTTTGGTTTGTTTGTTGGATAGAGTCAAACTCCAATGTTTGTTTGCTCCTTCATATTTACCAAATTGCGTTAGTGGCTATGAATGTATATAAAGCTATTTTTATGAATAAAGTATATTTTTGAAATAAAAAATAACAAAACTCACTAATCCTCTCCTGCTAAATCTGGAACCAGTCTATTTCCCCCAAGAATACAGGACACTTCTGTAATCCATCACTTAGAGGTGAAGCAAATCCAACTATAACGAACACCATGGTATTTTGCTTCATGTCACAGCAGACAAAGTCCACTCAAGGATTATTCTCAATAGGATTGTCACTCATAGATGTTGTAAAGCCAGATCCACGTGTAACTTTCATGACAGTCGGCATCAAATTCAAATTCCCCAAATAGAGCAAGAGCCTCTACATGGGGTCTGTTGACAGATGGTAAACTGAGAAAGTTTGCAAAGATACTATACAAATATGACAGCTCTGAAGTGATGATAGGGGCCATCTTCTCATTTCATGATGGCAAATTGGCACCTTATCAGCTGCATTTCATAGAACCCCTACAGTGGAAAAGGAGGCCATTCAGTCCATCAAATCCACACTGACTGTCCAAAGAGCATCCCAGATCCAGTCCATCCCTGTAGCATTTTTCATGGCTAACCCACCTAGCCTGCATATCTTTAGACTGTGGGAGGAAACCAGAGCACCTGGAGGGAAACCTGCTCAGACATGGGGAGAACGTGCAAACTGCACGCAGACAGTCACCTGAAACTGGAATTGAACCCAGGTTCCTGGTGCTGTGAGGCAGCATTGCTAACCACTGAGCCACTGTGCCGCTGCACCTTCCTGTCACTAGTAGCATAAAGCAAGGTTGTAGAATGACTCATTTTGTGCTTGTCATTTAATTTTCAGCCATGTTCTTGTAAAACATACAAAGATCTTGATATAGGAGCACATATTCTGCTCAGGACGGATGGCACTTCTTCAATCTGCGAAGGTTCCAGGTTTTCACAAAGATCAGAGAATTACTAAATGAGCCATCAACTTGCTGAACTGTGCCCAGGTAGTACACATTCCAGAGGACACCAATTCTGCCCAAGCCTGAGAATTCTTTGGCCTTGCGATAAAACTGAAAAATGCTGTACCAACTTGACCACAGACAGAAATTGCAAGGGCACCTTGTCACCATTCAACTCAGTTCAGAGTTTGTGCTAGGTTGGGGGTGTCTTCTCCAACAATGTCTGGTGAATGGTGAAATCACCCAAAACTAGATGAAAGCAAGCTCAGTATTTTGCAGGCTCACTTACAGGGAGACCATGGAGTTTGTTGCAAAACAAACGGATGTCCACCAGGCACTAGGGTCTGACATCACTTTCCCTGCACGCAAAGGCATGCACAACCTTAACTGTCCTGTAGAGTAATCAGATGCTTATCACTCCCACTATTTTAAACCTACCTATGCCATCAAATGCCAGGATAAATGACTAACACTGGAGTTCTTGCAAGGTGTTTAGTTCTTGGTATTGAGAGCATGCCTCATCAGTTGGGTCTAGGCCCGAAACATCAGCCTTCCTGCTCCTATGATCCTGCTTGGCCTGCTGTGTTCATCCAGTTCTACACCTTGTTATCTCACTTTCAGTGGGTCAGCTTAGGGGATTCCCACATATCCACATCTGTGCAACAGAAGCAGCATTGCTGGAGGTCCCAAACTCAGGGACAAAGACATTCTGGAAGCCAATCTTAAGAGTTTTCGTGGGGAGTGGGGAATAAAAACCCTGCAAAGGGAGATGTCTGAATCAACATTTGAAGAGAACAGAGTCAGAGGACAAGCAAACACCCCGGTAAATTGAAAGCTTCAATCCAAACTTTGGGTTTAGCATCCCAGATGAGAGGACACCCAGGTCAAAGGTGAGCAATTGGTGTCTGATCCCTCCCAGGGACCAGAGGCTCCATCAGCATCTCATCAAGCCCCAGTCAACTCTTTGAACGACCGTAGGAAATTACAGCAACTTGCGGGACATCAGCTCAAAGAGGGGAAAAAAAAGTTCCATACTTTGATGAATGTAAGAGTCACGCAGGCTAACAACAGCAGGTATTTTTTTCTGACCAGCAATGTAAAACTTGCTGCTCTGAACTTGAACCCAGGCTTTCCAACTCATCATATCGAATCAGTCTTTGCGCAGGATTTACACCGCCCAACTCAATTATTTGAGCGCATCCAGGTTTATTACAAACCCCAGTCTAAAATGGATTTGACACCAAGGCTTTGATGAGTGCGACACATTGGGGGAAGAGGTGCCTGTGATCTGGGAGAGGGCAGCCACACACACACGGAAGGGTGTGCTATCCACACTGTGTTATTTCAGACTCCAGCATCGGCAGTTCTTACTGTCTCACAGTGAAGGGTGGGCTGGGTGTGAACTGGTGAATCATGCGAGAGAAAACAAAAAGCCCCGAGACTGTTTAGGGAGCGGGTCCCGCCTCCTGAGAGAAGAAAGAGACACACACAGAGACAGAGATAGGCGCTCGGCAGCGCTTCACCAGAAAGAGTGCTGACCGGCTCTAGATAGAGAGCAGCTCTCACTGTGACGGCCCCCTCTGGTCTTCCCGGCCCATTAGACCGATGGCATGTTCCCTCTCCACCCGCTTCAGATTCCCAGTGAGTGGCAGAAGTTGAAGAGAGCGGCCGGATTGTGAGGCAGCAGCAGCGATGAAGCGTGCTCCTCTCCTCCTGCATCTTCTCGCCTCTTTCCTCGGAACAAGTGAGAGAGAACTTTAACTGATTTCATTCTGCTTGATGTGAGCGCTTGGGCAATTCGTCCTTGTACCAAATCCGGGGCGAGGGGCGGGCTTACAGCTTTGTTTGTTAACTATTTTTGTTTTGTAGATTTTTCCCAAGACAGCGAGAATTGTGAAAAGGAGCAGATGACCGCATCTACAGGTAAGTTGTTGTGGGATACAATTAGATCGCCCTGTGAAATGCTGTGACTTTATTTTGAAACATGCTTCCTATCCCCTTGCATACACACACGCGTTACATGATTCCGATCTGCCATCTACTTCTCAATTTCCCATTGCTTCAGGGCTGTGCAATTTTAACAGCGTGACTGTCTCTCTTTAAGCATTCTGTTTGCTCTGGTCCTTGAGAGCCTGACAATTCCTCCTCGTTAATCCTGTCACAGCCTCCCATGCTTTTGCCACCTCCCTTCCGCCCCCCCGTTATTGCCCCTCAAAGAACAACGATAATGTCCCTACCTTTAAACCAGGAGGTCTAGGTTCAACTCCTACCTGCTCCTGAAGTATATAATACCATCTCGGAACAGAGTGAAGACATTTTCATACCCTTTATGTGAAAATGCTTCCTGACCTCGCTCAATTTTCAGGTTTGTTTCACCAGAGGAACTGGTGGACTTTTGCATCTACCTACCCGATGTACTATTTTAAGCGTCTTAAGGACTTCAGTTAGATCACACCTTAATCTGCAACATATTTTCAATACTTATAGTCAACTTTATTTTCAGTCTGGTGAATGTGGATTATACTGGGCTGTCTTCCCCGAGAGACTGTGCTAATCACGGAATGCTGCTTGGCCTGCTGTGTTCATCCAGCCCTGCACCTTGTTGTCACGGAATGAATACGGTCTAGTCCAAGCTCAAAGGCAGAGTTGTTGGTGTTGGCCGGTTTGTAACATCGCCTTGTTCCGCTTGAGGTCATTTTCACCGGCGGTTGCTCACATTAGGGGAGGCGGTACAGTCTATTTGACCCTGACACGAAAATCCTGACAAAAAAAAACCCTTAATGACTGAAACTTTTGGAAGCATTTTGAAGAAAATGGGAATAAGTGCTTAAATATGCTTAATACTGTAGTTTAACATGATGATTCATTCTTAACTTGTATAGCAAGTTTACCTCCAGCCACACTGATTGCTACATATACTGACATCTTCATATTGATATCAATGTGCAAGCTTGCAAGTCACAACTTTTAGTCTGACAGTTTAAAACGTTAAGTATAAATTCAATTTCCTTGAGCATATGTACCTAACAGTTATCTTCATTAATTATTTGCTTGCTTTTATGACATTTCCTTTTAAGTGATTTTTTAAGATTTCCTCCTTCCTCCCTTTGTTGCCGAGAATAAATATGTAGCATGTATAACTTTCTACAGCATTGTTACAATGTGAAGGAGATTTAGGAGTCGTTTGCTTATCATTTTAAACTTAGTTTTTGTTTGAATACCTATTGAGTACTTTAGTATTGAAAAGTATACTGATTACTTCAATATCGAGTACTTTCAAATGTATATTGTGAACTTTAATATTGAGTGTTTTTAAACATCTAATAAGTGCTGCAGTATTCAGTACTTTATCATGATTACTTTATAAAAACAGAATTTTAAATTGAATACTTTTAAATACTTGGAACAAAAACAAAGTTGCTGGAAAAGCTCAGCAGGTCTGGCAGCATCTGTGAAGGAGAAAACAGA